ATATATTAATAAAATAAATTATTTATTTAGTAATTTAGAGAAGTTAATTCCTTTGCCAATTCCAAAAATAGCGCATATCTGATAGCTATCCAACAAGGAAATACATGGCGTAGACAAGAATACATAGCATGTAGTACACTTGAGATTCAAAACACGAAATTTTGCTAAATTAAACTGCTAATAATATTTTCATTGGAATATGAGACAGATATACAGCGAAAATTGAAAAAAAATGAGAAATATTTAGAAAAACATGGCAAAATGAATAAACTACTGGAATGCAGTAGAGAATGTAGTTTAGGCTTCCCTAATTTTTTGCGCTCGAAATGTTGGGCGCAAGTTTTTGTTGCTTTTATTACATTGATCTTATTGCGCGGGCCACTGTGAGTGTTATAAGTATATTTGCATTTATACATATGTTATTACGTTTTACATGATATGCCAGTATTCACATCAATGAAGGGTTTGGATTATATTAGAATGGACTTTGATCGACTGTATTATAGAACGAAGTCTGAGTTATAAAATCTCGATGTGTTTTGTTTGTTTACGCGGTAATATCGTGTACCGTTAATTTTAGTTTTACCGTCAGTCTAGAAACAACACTTGTATATAACAAAACATAATCAAAAAACCTTTATCTCTACAAATATCAAGTCGAATTTCGAATTTAAAAGTTAAGCGCGCAATATTACTCTTTTCAAAAATGATAACCACAGTTCGAATTGTTTCACCTAGAGTTGTTAATTTAAATAAAAAGTACTTAAGAAAGTTCCTCTCAACCATCAGTAATTCACAACTTGCAGAAAATGTTACCTACGACAAAACTTCCGGAATTGTTACATCTCCCTACGGAAAAATTGCGATACCTAATGAGAATTTGGTAGAATTTGTTTGGAAAAGAATGGAAGAACACATGGAGCACCCAGTTACCGTAAGTTTCATGCAAACTAAAAAAATTGTATTGTTTGTTATATTAATCAACCATAAATTAAAATTATTTGGGTGAAGGATAGTGATGGTATATATCGTTAGAAAAAAGTTTCGTCTACAAATAAATATATTTTCTCTTACAGACTTGCCCAAGTGGTAAAATGTTTAGTGGCGTTAGCCATCTTTTTCACCTACAGTCTTCAGTTCTACGTTGCTTACTCGATAACTTGGGGAATAACAGGCAAACATATTTCAACGAAATTTCATAATTTAACTCAAATTGTACTAAGAACNTACATTTACAAAGTTATTGACGCCATTTCTTACCCGTGTCAAAAATAAAAAAAGCTCCTTTTTTAAATTATTAGAACAGTCACTAAATTAATAAAGTAATTTCTTTTCAAATATAATAACGGTTGTTTAATATTTCCCCGTGTTTAATTAAATTGCGGACAATTACTGTTTCTGTTGATTTGTTTTCTTTTTTTTAAGAAAAAAGCAATTAAATGTGTATTTTTTTCAATTTCTCACGGTCACTCGTGTCAACAAATCATTGTGATGAAATAGTTATTTTGACGGGTATGCACAGTGATATGTTTATTTTTGATTTGCCAAAGCCTTTAAAACAGGCGATAAAATTATAATAATATCATGAATGATAATAACAAAAAAAATATGAGTAGTTGAACTTTCATTGCTTTGACTAATTAAGTGTCTAATCAATTGACGCAATTTATTTCCTTTACTGCTGAGTCTCAGATAATACAAAATTAATTAAACGGTCAAATGCATGTTTTGATATTGCAAATCACAACCTCTTTAAAACATATACATATAATAT